GGGGTTGGAACTGATGAGCGCTGTGCTCCTGTGCAGCCCAGGCCTTTCTGTGATGATTCTATCATGATTCTATGATCATGGCTCCCTATGGATCCCTATGGCACCCTGTGGATCCCTGTGGCACCCTGTGGATCCCTATGGCACTGTATGGATGAGCACTGTGGTCCTTTTCAACCCAGACCATTCTAGGATTCTGATTCTGTGATTCAGGAACCGAACCACATGCTCTGCTATCATTCACAGAATCACAGAATCACAGAACGGCCAGGGCTGGAAGGGACCTCAAGGATGACGAAGCTCCAACCCCCTGCCACACGCAGGGCCACCAACCTCCTCATTTAATGCTGGACCAGGCTGCCCAGGGCCCCATCCAACCCGGCCTTGAACACCTCCAGGGATGGACGGGGCACCCACAGCCTCTGTGTGCAGCTGTTCCAGCACCTCACTGCTCTCTCTGTAAAGAATTTCCCCTGACTTCCAAGCCATCACTCAGCTCCTCCAGCTTCTGCAGCTGGCAGCAGCCACGTTGCAAACGCTCCCTCACTGCTGAGCATCCCTCCGTGCAGCCCTGTGCCACGTCCTGGAGGAAGGCCCGCAGCAGCACAGCGATAGAACCTACAATGAAATAGCAGAAGGGGGAAGATGGAGCACACAAGAGTGCTGCCCCTACACTGCACAAGGCCCCGTTTTATCCTGCCGATGACCTGGCAACTGTCTGACACTCGGTTTTGCGAGCAGAACACGGCAGAATGGGACCCAGGAATTTCTTTCAGGCCGTCAGGCTTGCTGGTTAATTTACTCATTAACCGGCTCTGCAGCCCTGCTGATTCAGAACCATCCGAGCAGACTCCTCGGGCAGTAAGAGGAGCCATCCCAGCTTCTCCTGAGCCTTCACTGTTCGATAAGCTGGACAAAGAAGTGCAAACAAACTACGGGAAGGGGAGCAATGCAGGTACCTGCGCACGGGTTAATGCCAGCCCAGGTGCCCACAGGCCCTTTTCCTGCCTTCCAGCTGCCGGCTGAGAAAGGCTGAGCCTCTCACAGGGCTCTGTGCCACAGCTGCCACATTTCAGGTACCCCAGGGCAGCTGCGTGCGCCAATAAAATGGGCTGCGTGTGCAATGAGAGCCATCCGTTCGCTGAACTTCAGCTCGTGGCTTACTCTGACACCCGCCGGGTCTTGAGGTGCAGTCTCCTTTCTTTTATGAAATGGATTCTTAATTAGCACATTATGAGCTGCATCTTCTGATGCATCGCTTTACCAAGGGACCCAAGGTGCTCTGTGCGGGCGCCTTCTATTTCTGCTGGCTTCCCAACACTCGAGTACCTAACAGCTTTATCATCACTGCTCTTCTACTGATCAAAACATCAAACAGAGAGCAAACATCTCTGACGTGCTGGGATGTCTGTTCAGTACAAACCTATCCAACGATCTCTATAAGCTCCTTCATAATTGAAAGCGTGCATTCCCATTCATTCCCATTCCAACGCCTGATGCGTGTTGGAGTCACAGCTTCCTTCTGCCCAAGAGCGCAGGAAGGGGCGCTGCATTACCTTGTACAGCACGGCAGACCTCCGGCTCAGCACCGACCACTGCCAGCCCCGAATGCTGCAGCTCAGCGCTTCCCTCTCGTTCTATCTTAGCCATGGCTGTCCAAGGAAGACGGAAGGCCCACATACAGTCCTGTAGCCATGAGGAAAGCACTCGCCCAGTGCTTCAGACATGGCCTCAACCCGAGCAGTTCATCGCTTGCACTCCAAGTCGAGGGGAGCAGCAGCAGGCACGGGGCTGACAGCCCGCTCTGCACTTCTGACTGCTGGCAGCCAAAGGAGCAGCGGGCAGAGCACGGAAGGGCAGACAGGGAAGGCAGAAAAGAGCACAGCAACCCATCATCCTGCACAGCCCCGCACTCACAGGCAGCTCCCAGGCACTACGTTGCAGTGTAATGCATCTCATTATGTAATGCATTAAATGGCTTTTGTTTGAAGAGTAGCACGGGGCCGTGAGCCGCCCATCTTCTCAGCAACCTTCAGCCACCATTCGCCTCTGCTCAGTGCCACCGAACCTCATTTCAAAGTCAAATTAATCTTCGCCCTCCGATGTTAATTGTCTCACTGGCTCCATTAGTAGGAAGATGACCAGTGCCACATCCTTGTCCCAGTGCAGGGTGCCTCGCGTCCGAGCTCCGTCCGTGCCAAACCCAACTCACCTTCCGTTGCTCCCTGTCTCTGGGCAATGTTGTGGCTTTTTGTGACGAACTCTCCGCACTTCCTCTCCAAATGCCATTTGTCTCTGCCCCAGTTTACCAGAGCAAGGACAAGTGCCCTAACAGTGCCTAACAGAGCCATGCTGCACATCACAGCATGATGCCCGGTGTTCGATTCCAACCTCCGTCCTGCATTCTGCTACGCTGTTCTCCACCTTAACAAACATTGCATCAGATTGGACGTTTCATCTACTGCTATTTACCATTTCCTACAGCTTTATGCTACCGCTGCAATTTACCAGCACTGCTTAACGACTACTGAACATTTCAGCATCCTCCTGAGCAGCACCAGGCACAGACCCACTGCCATCAATGAGCATTAATACCTTCTCTTTAATGATGGACAGCAGCCCAGCAGAAAGCCTACTGACGTAACATAGGATTCCAATCACACTTCAGAAAGCAGCACTTTAGATTACCTGGGGAAGTCTGGCCTTACTGCAATAAAAACACTCACACTATCACCAGCCCAAACTGTTTGTAATCCCAAAGGACAAATAACTGTACGAATCACCCTGCACCAGCAGCACCTGCTTTCATTTGCACTGTTCTGGCTTTTCAGCCAGGCTGGTGAGGCTTTGTTCCGGAGTTACCTGCATTTCTCTCTGGATTTAATAATTCCAGTATTTATTATCACTTATATGGGAACAGCCTGCCCAAGGAGGCTGTGGATGCCCCATCCCTGCAGGCATCCAAGGCCAGGCTGGATGTGGCTCTGGGCAGCCTGGGCTGCTGGCTGGCGACCTGCACACAGCAGGGGTTGGAACCAGGTGAGCGCTGTGGGCCTTTGCAACCCAGGCCATGCCATGATGATTCTATCATGATTCCATGATCATGGCTCCCTATGGATCCCTATGGCACCCTGTAGATCTTTATGGCACCTTATGGATTCTTACGACACCCTGTGGATCCCTATGGCACCCGATGGGTTATTATGGCACCCTGTGGATCCCTATGGCACCCTATGGGTTATTATGGCATCCTGTGGATCCCTATGGCACCCTATAGGTTATTATGGCACCCTATGGATCTCTATGGCACCCTATGGGTTCTTATGGCACCCTGTGGATCCCTATGGCACTCTGTGGATCCCTATGGCACCTAAGGGGTCTTATGGCACCCTGTGGATCCCTATGGCACCCTATGGGTTTTTATGGCACTCTGTGGATCCCTATGGCACCCTACGGATCCCTATGGCACCCTATGGGTTATTATGGCACCCTGTGGATCCTTATGGCACCCTATGGGTTATTATGGCATCCTGTGGATCCCTATGGCACTCTGTGGATCCCTATGGCACCCTATAGGTTATTATGGCACCCTGTGGATCTCTATGGCACCCTATGGGTTCTTATGGCACCCTGTGGATCCCTATGGCACTCTGTGGATCCCTATGGCACCTAAGGGTTCTTATGGCACCCTGTGGATCCCTATAGCATTCTGTGGATCCCTATGGCACCCTATGGGTTTTTATGGCACCCTGTGGATCCCTATGGCACCCTATGGGTTCTCTGGTCTGCTGGTTGGTGACCCTGCACACAGCAGGGGCTGGAACTCAGTGATCATCGCGGTCCCTTTCAACCCAGCCATTCTAGGATTCTGCAACTGTTTTTTTGTGACAGATCTTTTCAATGGCTCTGAGAGCAAGCTGCTGTCACAGACGGAAATGCTGCTCGCACACTCGC